ATTCAGAAATGGCATGAGTAGAAAATATATAGGACATAGGTATATATTGTAGGTACAGATTGTGTGAATGACATATTAGATAGACGGCGCGATAATAAGTCAATTTCATGATTTTAAATATTATATTTGTAGCTAAAAAAATATATATATAGAAAGGGCTGTGATTAAAATAATATACCTATATTGTACCTATATCTTATGTAATATATAATTCACCCATCTATAAGCATCAAAAATGATTGAACGAGGTGGCTCTTAATGCCAAATCATGGTCAATTCTGATGTTTCAGTCCTGTAGTAATTTTGACAACGTGGTGAGAGTATATAATATAACATGTGCGCATTTTAAACGAAAGAATCGAAATCGGCCACGCCTAAATAATAAACGACTTGACCAAATTAAAATGCGACGGACTCACAACTAATGCAACATATGAAATATATAATACGGTTTGAAATTTAAATAAACAACATTCGTCATAATATATAATGATGACTTGTATACATATAATTTGCTTTATTATACAGCACCCTATTAAAAGTAATTACCTATTATAAGTATCCAAAAAACAAAATTGCCAACTGCTATTGCAGTTGTCGTATTTTATTGTTATGTTTTTAAAAAGTATACGAGAATGCTTTAGAACTATAACCATAGCACATACACAACATATATAACTATAGCACAGTAGGGCACATATATTTCGTTTCTTTAATACCTATGCAGTACGCTTACCTATGCAAATACTGAATATTATGTCTATATGTACAGAAATTGAGGAATGTCTGTTCTGCAATATTCTAACATTTAAGCTGTCTATTAAGTCTTTTGTTTGAGCATCAGCTATCCTGCATTGATCCAACGATCTTCAGGTCAATCATCGATAACAAAACTGATAATATACCTATTATTGTGTATACCTCATTGTGATAACAACTAAAAATTGCTTAAGGTAGGTCTCGAACTCTCGACCAACCTTAATTTAAGCAACATTTTTTATTTTCTTAAGTCAAAGTCTCGCTTATGAATCTCATTTGAATCATAAATATAGCTCGACTGCTTGAGCAATACTTATTCTTAAGTATTGACCAAGAATACGGCCCTATTGCATCTCTAAAATTATAAAGAAATTAATTGAAAAACAAAAAAATATCTTCTCCACGCGTGAATACAAATTATAATACATATGGGTTAGTACTATGATGAGTAGGTATATCAATATACAGGCTGATTCACCAACTATGTTCGCCTACTTTTTCTTCCTCAACAATACAGTTATTCAAAATAGAATTTTTATATATACTTACAGACTATATTTTCAAATTCTTGAGATTTTTCGTACTACTTAAGGAGTGTCCTGTGGACTGGGAGCCATGGATTTACAAACTTCTGTTATTCAAATAAAAACCCCTCTTTTATACAGTAACTTGTATATAAATATAAACCCTGTATATTATATGGACCAAACAAAAATTAAGTTAATTCCTAATAAAAAAAAAATCATTACCATTGTTGTATTAACTCTGCAGTAATCGATATTCTTTATTTTAGATACCTAAGTTATAATTTAATTTTGAAAAATTAAAGAAAATAATTTATAGATACTATAAAAGTAGAGATTCAATCACAATAATCCAATCGAATTATAATATCTTATACAGTACCTACCTATATACTATATATGAGGGGTGATCAACTATAAAAGAGTCGAGAGCCACATAATATAATGTAAAATAATATGATAAACAAGAAAAAGAATAATACCTATTACTATATCTATTATGTTACCTACTTACCTAGTAAAAATATTAAGATGCTAATCACATGAGTCTACGACGCAAGCCGCAGTTTTGCCATCCCAGCTATATAGGTATGTCTATATAAAATAATGATCAGATATAAGTAATCACTCATCAGTAACTGGTTTAGTTAAATCATGAGTGATGAGTAGGTATTAGAAAAGGGTAATTATTATTTGATCGATCCTATTATGACATTCCAATTTAACACCACTTTGATTAACATTTGTTAATCAAATAGGTACCTATCAAATACCTAACTAATAAGTGAAAAAAAAAAACAATAACATTTAAGTAGGTAGGTACAATTATATAATTGTGACATTATATTATTATTATTATAGTTATTGCGTTTAAAGTCTTATAAAAAATACCAATAAGATGCTCAATTTTAATTTAAAAAAAAAATATTTTATCGTTTTATCGTTTTATCTAAATACATTGAATTAAAAACATTTTTAAATATTTTTTTGGAATACTTCTTCATTTTATGTCGTTTTAAGTTTTTTTTTGATTTTTATATGTGAATAATATAGTCATTTGTTTACATAATTCGCCAAAATACACGAAATATTATAACGAATTTCCGTCAAACAGATAATAATATTTCCGACTTATTCTCACACTTCAAGCAATAGAAAAAAAATTGGCTAACGCTGGTGTCGAGTATACCTCGTCATTGATTATGTCACTCTAATGGGTGTGCAAAATGCCACAGCTGGAATAATTGCAAAAAAGCCAAAAAATAATTTACATAAAAAAAGACGAAAAAGCAAAAATGAATTGGTTTATTTGGAATCAGAATGACTTGAAACGAATTTATGTATGAAAATTACATTTCTATCTCATATAGGTATATATAAAAAAAAGAATCATATATTATGCTTTAAAATCCGAGCTCTACTCATTAATAACATGGTAGGTTGAACTAATTTGGCAAAAAAACAAATCACAAATAAATAATAATAGATTATAATTATTGAAATATAATTTCATAAGATATTAAGTAGGTACCTACTACCTATTATAACTAGCACCGGTGTATGTATCGCAGAATGGTGTGAATAGGTTCAATGCAGCTTCGTGGCATAAACGCATAATAGATTTAAGAGGATGTCAGCGCACTATTTGTTTTCTCTCTCTAGCCCACGCGCAACATAGACAAAACGCATTACCGTAGAATCGTTTTTTCTATATTTTTAAGTAATCTTAGAGTAAAATCACCCATTACAAAAAAGATACTAGATAGAGAACAATATTTTTGAAGGAATGACATATCGATTTTATATTTTATTGTTATTTGATTTGGTATTCGACTTTCAAAATAAACAAAAAAAATATTGCAAATTTAAATTATGTTTAAATGGTTTTGAGACAATATTTAGACAAATCGATATGTCATTCCTTCAAAAATATCATTCTCTATCTTTTTTGTAATGAATGATTTTACTCTAAGATTACTTAAAAACATAGAAAAAATGATTCTGCGTAAATGCGTTTTGTCTATGTTGAGCGTGGGCCAGAGACAGAAAACAAATGGTGCGCTGATATCCTCTTAATCTATTCTGTGGTATAAATATTAAAATAATATAGCTTAAAATTAATATAAAAACTTTGAGCAATATTATGTTATTGTATAGTAAATTATAAAATACGTAGTGGGGAAAGTTTCAAGTCCATTCGAATAATAGTTTTATAGCCTGATTTTAAAGTACCTACGTACCTAATAACTTGTTGGTAATTTTAATTGTCATTTTTGTAATAGGTACCTACGTGTTGTAATCGTTTTTAAGATTTTAGTGTTTTTTAGCGAGCAACAAAGTTTTATTTTGCTTATTTTTTAATATTTGTTGCATAAAAACTCGAGTTCTACTAGTTCTAGGTAGTTATTAGTATTTACTATTTAGTATTTGAACCATGCGGTCCTGACCTATGGGTAATAAGTAGGCCATTAACACATAATAGGTATTAAATATTAAAACGTGATACCTGCTCACTAATAACCGCAGTAGGTACCTACGTAAAAAGTGAAAATGTTTTTGTACCTGTTTGCAGGGCCGGACTTAGGGTTGTGGGGGTCCCATGGCCCATATAAGATTTACAATCTTTCTGAAAAGGGTAATTCTTTTGTTGGGGGCCTGTTATAATTGAATCTTGCCCCCTCCCCCCTAAATCCGCGGCCCCACCTGTTTGGCTATTTACATTTTACACTTTTACAACAGCAGAACGTCATCATCGCGAGTTGTAATCGACAACGGACGACTAGGTCAATAATAAAATTATTGGCTATTGTACATCGTACGTTCGTACATATCGATTTTTCAGGATTTCGCAAAAAAAAAAAGAAAATCCTTAGATGGATTATGTAGGTATTTGTCATTGGAAAATATTAATAATATGTATACTCCCCTATGGCCACCTTCCGATACCTATTGTTAACATTTTATTAGGCGGTTATAGTGATTTTCTCTGATAATAATACGACTCTTCACTCGTGTTGAATGTTGACTGTTGGTACCTACATAAATCATAATCATTATTAGGTACCTACTATGTAAGTACCTATATTATAAGCTGGTAAACAATCTGAAATATATTCTCTTGACAGGTAACAACTTGTCAATATTTACTTTAATCTTATAAGTTATTATTTTTATAAAAAGTATAATATTATACCTAATATAGTAATAGGTACCTACCTATACAATAATGATAAATAAATATCGAATAAACTAACTACCTATGTAAAAATGTTTTTTAAAATTATTTTTTACTATTAATATATTAAATAATAATTAATATATTTCGCAATAATATTAAACAAAGAGTGTACAACTTGAAAGTTGTAACACGGTGATTGTGTAAACAGCAAAAGCATACGATAATAATGTTATGTTATTATTGTGTGCGATGTGTGAATACAAAATAGTGAAACGACAATGACGTCAAAATGATAAGAATTTGATAAATATTGTGATGTTGATTGTGAGTTATGACACGGACCTTATTGTTTTCAAAATCGTTAACTGGTTAGGACTGTTGAGAAGTATTGCATTTTTTTTTTGTTGAAATTACTTCCTTTTATAGTTACCGCTGTGGGCCTTGAATAGTATTAATTTGTTTTTTATTACTAATTATCTGTTATCATATTATTGGCTATTTTGGCCCATCTCACGGGGGATTGCAACAGTGTTCAAACAATGGTGGACCGATTAGGTGAGTAATATTTTATTTAATCTTTTATTGTGGAATTAACCAACATTTGTATGTAAATAAATATTTTCATTTTCAGTAAATAGTGAGGCAAATGCCCGTCGCATTACTATGGTCGAAAGTTGTTTTGGTAGCTCAGGACAAGTAAGTGAAATTCCTACTTCCTACTGAGTCTTTGATGAAAAAATTATATTTTGTGAATAACGTTACACATACTTGGCTACAGTATTATATTTCACTGATATATTTCTTCATTTATTATTGCAGCCTTTAGCTGTTCCCGGGCGTGTTTTAGTTGGTGAAGGTGTACTGACAAAAATTTGTCGAAAAAAACCAAAACCCAGACAATTCTTTCTGTTCAACGACATTCTAGTATATGGAAATATACTTATAAACAAAAAAAAAGTAAATATTGTAAACATCATTGTAACTATTTACTAAAGCTTATATATTTGTTCTAGTATAACAAACAGCATGTTATACCATTAGAAGAAGTAAAATTGGAATCTCTACAAGATGAAGGGCGTAAGTTATGATTACAATTACTAAGTGCTTCCTAACCAATGATCATTAATCATTTGCATATTAATAAAAGTATCATTATATGTATCCTAATGTTTAGAGTTAAGAAATGGTTGGTTAATTCGAACGGCGTCCAAGTCATTTGCTGTGTATGCAGCCACTTCAACAGAAAAACAAGAATGGATGGCACACATTAATAAATGTATTGAAGATTTGTTGAGAAAGAGTGGTAAAAAAGCTGTTGAAGTCCATGCAGCGGTATGGGTTCCGGATTCTGAAGCCAATGTTTGCATGCATTGTAAAAAGACTCAGTTCACAGTCCTCAATCGAAGAGTAACTGCACTATGAAAAATAATTTTATATATTATTTTGTACCTATTTTAAATTCTAATTTCTTTGTTGCTTTCAGCATCATTGTCGTAGCTGTGGTACAGTAGTGTGTGGTCCATGTTCTAGTAAACGGTTCTTATTACCAAATCAGTCGACTAAACAATTGCGCGTCTGCCTAAATTGTTTCGATAAATTATCTAGAGATAAAGCACAACAAAACAGTACTAACCTCAATTATCTTAGAAACTGTATGTTTATATTATAATCTAACCTATTGTAAATCTTTTTATCTCAATAATTGTTTCTAATTTATAGCTTTAAAAGATCGCAGTGAATCTTCTGGTGATGATGATTCTGATGATGATGATAATTTTGTCCCATCTACTACAACACCAGAGCAAGTATGTACCTGATAAAATTACTGTTAGTATTTTTCTACCTACTTATAATAATCTTTTTATTTAATTTACAGCCGAAGTTTTACTGATTTTTCCATCCACATGAGTACTTTCTTTGTTTTACTAACATTTTCTATGAAGTTTGTTATTCATGGAATTATTTGATTTGACAAGAGTTTAATCATAATTGTTTGCATTCTGGAAAAAGCATATTTTAACTTTATAAAATAATGCAAATTGAATCCATAGATCTATTATTTTATATAATGTGTAAAATCCGAATTATGTATTTGTGATATACCTTGTTAATAGTATTGTTAAGTTGTCCTTATCAATATTAAGTTATTCGATGTCTTGTTAATATTAAATATTAGTCTATTATATTTGTTTACAATCAAAGTATTTTTTTCTGATAATAATTTATTTTTACAATGAAAGAGACCAAATAATATTATTCATTTGGGTCAATAATATTTAAGAACTTATACATAAGTCAATTTTTAATATTTGAATGGGATGGATTTATTTTTATTACATTATAATTATAACTATTAATTATTATCATATTTTCTAACTTGTTTTTATGTATTTTTTCTGTAATTAAACTACCCTCTGTTATTATAAAGAAAACCTAAAAAATTAAATAATCACAGTATTACAGTTAGTGTTACCATTTAAAATATTGTTTTTTATTATTAATATTATGTAACATATAACTAGCATAATTTCAAATATAAAACAATATATTATTATTTGGTTTTAAACAAAACAAAAAAAATTGTATTAAAAAATACTATACTAATTTAAAACATGAGTTTAAATATAATTGCAGTCACTTCCTTGTTGATTTTTTGTTGATGTTTATTGTTGAGCACCATGTGAATTAAACGTGATTGCTGTGCTTGTGGTAATGGTACATTGAGTTCAATAGAGTGTTTCATAATTTCTTTGCATTGGCGAACATTTCCTAATGTGTCTAAAATATAAATAAAAACATATATATATTTTTTTAAATCAATACTGACTGAATAATCATTTTTAAATTGTTCATGCAAATACTACTTTGATATTATCAAAATAAACTTGTACAAACATAATGTATAATTAATAATTATTAATGTTTTTTTTTTTTTTTTTTTATGAAAATTTATTTGATTTTAACAATAAAATATTTTTGAATTAAATTGTTGTTATTTTGTATGATAAAAACTACAAATTTTAAATAGGATCATAAATAATAAGTATGGTAAATTGGTAACCAAACTTTACACTAAAATTAATAAATATGCTACTCTTCTTTATTTCAATGTCTACGTATGTAATACGTTATATGTGTATTAAAATTAAACATCAAATCATCAATCAACTTAAATTTCATTAATTCATACTTTAAATAGTGATTTTGTATTTCTAACAGATATCATTGTCTGATATTTTATAATACATCTTCCTGTCAAAGTTATGATGACCTAATTATTTTTGAGTTATGACTCATTGGCCACTGTAATCATTCATATTAATTCTCCTATTATTTATTAACCTTATAGTCACCATTATTAAAGTAATTTTAACAAACTAACATAGAAAAGGCCTGTTAATGAAATAAATTGGAGCGGATACAACCAATGAAAAGTATATATTTCACCAATGGGCCTATAAATAGTAATTAATATTTAGAAGAAATATATTATATTGTAGTTATGAACTTAGATTTTATCACCTTTTTTCTACAATAATACATTTTTTATAAACAACCAAGTTTTATTGAATTTAATACTTATTTTATTTTTATTTTAAACAGTATGAATATATTAATACGTTAAATTATAGAAGAATACATTTAATATTATATTTTATACTGTTTTTAGTAGACACAGGGCTAGATATCAATCATTGTTTTGAAATTTACCCACTTTCAGTCAATTATTAAGAAAATGAGTCTCTTATTTAAAAATTATTTGTTGCTAAGTACATGTACATAAACAATAAATAAATATTATAAAAATATTTTTATTTTATTTTGTCAAAAAAAAAAAAAAAAGGGAATTTAATAACCCACAGTCATTATTTCATTGATATTATTTTCCGGTATAATTGCAGTTTAGCTACCACGAGATTTTTTCAAATTTTTTTTCGAAACCTAGGTAAATCAACGTTTTAAAAATGATGGTGCCAAAAAAAAATTGCGCAAACTCTTAGTTTTTGAGTTATAACTGTTAGAAATTCAAAAATTCCCAAATATTGCATTTTGAATTTTGAATTTTTTTTGTGGTAGACTTATGTATTTTGACTATTTAAAAACGATGGTGCAATCAAAATTTGTCGATCGAATTGAGTTTGAAAGTTATAGCGGTTTTAAGTTAAAAATTTTGGATTTTTAAAGAAAAATTTTTTTTGTTGAACCAAGTCGCCAAGTGAGGTAGTTGCGCCTTACCTGCTCCGGTTATATTTTTCAGATATATAATTTCTCTGAATCCAAATATCGTAATTATAAATGTTTCTGTAATTGGCAAAAAACAACTTTGTTTAATTCCGAGGTTCACCTGAGGTGGTTTTACACAACAAATCGGGGGATATTTTCGATTTGCGGAGCGGAGCGACGGCGCCGAGGAGCGTAGCGACGAGTGCCAATACACTCGTGATCTCTGCAACTTTTAACTTTCATAACTTAAAACCGCTATAACTTTCAAACTAAATTCGATCGACAAATTCTGATTGCACCATCGTTTTTAAATAGTCAAAATACATAAGTCTACCACAAAAAAAAATTCAAAATTTAGGAGTTTTTGAATTTCTAACAGTTATAACTCAAAAACTAAGAGTTTGCGCAATTTTTTTTTGGCACCATCATTTTTAAAACGTTGATTTACCTAGGTTTCGACAAAAAAATTTGAAAAAATCTCGTGGTAGCTAAACTGCAATTGTTCCAATAATCTTTCATATAATCTATGATATAACTAGGCACCTACCTATAATTATAATTTATAATATAAAATAATAAAAAATTAAAATTTTTTTAATTTTTATATATACCTATAATATATCATTTGTAATAAAAATATGTATAAACTACAAATATACCTAATATACTCACAATAATACTCAAACAGGGACCTTAAAATCCATTGATAAGGTTCCATACGTTTATGTTTTAATAAAATTATCATTATCCTTTGAACACATTCAACTTTATGAGTTTTTAACATTTTTCTTGTAAGGGATGGTGTAAGGTATTGTATATTTTCTATTAGATTAGTATTTTGACTTAATAATTTTTCTGCTTCTAGGTTGTCATTAAATAGTTCACTTAAAAATAAATACTTCCATAGGATGCACATTGGATGATAATCCCCATATCTGACAACTATCGAGTTGACAAAATTTGAAACCATAACTACTGATGCAACACCATGTGATTTTACTATAGTATGAACAATAGGGTCTAATACATAATTTACTTTTGTGGTCTCCACAGGGTAGAATGTCTCAAAAATTTTAAACATACTATGCAAATTACCATTCGCCCAATACGCTTCTGCAAAATTCATTTGTAATTCAGATTTATTAATACAATTACCATACTTTTCATTGAGTCTTTCAATTAATACTAATCCATTAATTTGCCGATGTTTGCCATGTATCTGATAATTTCTGAATGCACTTTCACTGACCTTGAGAAGACCCATCAAGGGCATTGCCTGCAGGTATGTGGTCAGATGTCTGGATCATCGCACAGTTCAAATACAGAATCTTGATTTGACCCTTGACAGTTTATAGTTGTAGGAACAACATTTCTGATTTCCTTCATCATATTTCTATAACGAGACTATTAGTAAACGATCCAATGCATCGTGGTGGTAGTTGCAAATTGGTTTTTCCGATTTGTGTGCACTGCCTTCTGCAGAAAATGTGTTTTTGTTTGAAGCCAAATTTAAATTTAATAAGCTTTTTGGTGTTCCACACTTTGAACAAACATTAAAGAGTAACATATTACGCAATCTAAACATCTAACCGTCTAATAAAGTACCTAAGCAGGTACTTCAAAAATTCTTAAGACACATAATTATATTCAGTTTAAAAAAAAAAAAAACCTAGATAATAACAAATTAACATAATATCATGAGAATTGTATCTAAAATGTAACAACGACTAAAACATAACAAGTAACGACATTGGAAAGAATTCTAAAAATGATTTCTTTTAATAATTAATAATAAATTAGAAATTACATTGAATTAGGTAACTACTTTATTTTCAAAGCATAAGATATTAAGATGTGATAACGTTGTTATCAATTTCGTTGTATCGTGCATTCGTGCCATGAGGTGCTATTTCATTTAATCTGTGGTGCTACCTTAATACCTTATAGAGGGCAGTAGCACACTAGCACAGAACGATTCTGTGTCAGTTGTAGTTTTGGGCAGTTGTGAATTTGTGATATCATTGTTGATGGTATGATTCTGTGGTTGAATCCACAGATGTTATTTAAACAATATAACAGCTAATATAAATATCTGTACTTGAATCATACTTGAATCTTGTATCCGCATACAACAAATACCTACTTGAATGTTTATTAAGTATTCGTGGTATTTACTATTTAGGTATTGTATTTTAGATTTTATTTGCAAAGTTGTAACTTGATATTGAATCTTTACTCTGTTGCCACTTGTAAGCTGTAAGTTACTGATATTATTTTGTTGTTATGTGCAATTATTTTACAATATTTAGACTCAAGTAGTGTAGAGATTGTTTCGTTGTAACGGGCAAAAAAATCTTACGATGGATTCTATGGCTGAGATCAGACGAAAAATAGACTCTGGATATACAATTTCAGTAGCTGCTGTAAATATAACTCAATGATCATTGTTTATTAAGATTTGAATACCTATCTAATACAATAATACAAATTTAATTTATTTTTAGGCGATGGACAATCTAGTTAATGTGATTAAAACTAAAATCAAAGGACACCGTTCTGACATGACAAATGTAATTATTCATTTTATTTTATTTCTTGTTCTATTCTCAGTAATGTACCAATCTTAAATTTACATGCATGTCCATGGTGCTGTTACGTATTTTTTACATGGAGAGCATATATTCAATGGTTACAGGTTAAACTTTTCATGACTATACTTCTTTCCAAATAAAAACGCACCGGGCGGCGACCGGTTCCCTACCAGCTGCGCGCATCTCCCACATAAAGTAGGAAAAAATGTGAGCAGAACCAGTGCGTTCTTATTTGGAAAGAAGTATAGGTAAGAGTGATATCCAGATATATAGTTGATTCTCGGTAACTAAGAGGATAAAATATTAAGTTATTAAAATTTCAAGATAGCACAAATCAATTAAATGTTATGAGTTACCGAGAGTTGACCGTATACAGTTGGAGACTTTCAACAACAATTTCACTTATTTCACATTATTATAGATTCCTGAAATGTTACTCCTTCAAGAGTATTGTTGTCACCAAAATCCAATCATCTGTACTACTGCATTAAGAGCCTTGTGTACATTCATGTTGTCTAATAACTATCAAAACCAATTGCTAATTGACTGGTTAGTCATCCTAAATCCTCAAATTAAATGTAGAATTGGATTTATACAAGAAATATTTGAATTAATAGTTTTTGGGTTGAAAAATAAAGAGAATACTAACAGTAACAACATCAACACTCTGGTTGACATTCTAATAAAAATAATGGACGAAAGTATTGAAGATTGGCATGCAATTTTTTTTCATATGAAAATCAGTACACATTGTGATGATCATGAGTAATAAATTGTTTTAATTAATTTTGTACTTATTAAACCTACATTTTAAATTATTGTTTTAGGTTTATTACTGGCTGGTTGAATGTTACAAAACGATTATTTAAATTCATATTTTTGTCTCAAACATCCTCAAATCATCGTACTTCGTTTGTCCGACTGTTTGTGGAAATACTCAACTGTGCATCTGATTATGATTTATTATTTGAAATCTATTCTTGGCTACAGGTAAAATCTATGTCAATACTGGGAATTTATTATTCTATGTACTATCATAATATTTTTATTACAATTTGATTATTATTTATTACAGGTTGATAAACTAGATGACATTCTATTTTTAAACAATTTTTTAGGAGAATTTTGTGACACAATCCCTGATACACTACATGAAACAAAATACAATTTATGTTTGTGTGTAATTCAAACATCAATTCAACTTATTGCACATGGTTTCGACCCAACATCCATGTTCCAACGCTTGAATAGTCTTTTGATATTATGTCCTTGTGCATCTGATGTTTTATTGTTATGTTGTTCCAGAATTCTAAGTTTATGCTCTTCAAAATTTGTACTCAAAACTATTGACTTCTGTAATATACACTGTTCTTTAATTTCCTCTTTAATTTTTATTTTACATACAATTTTATCTATTTTTAGGTTTGAATGTTGTTAAAAAATATGGATGCCATAAAATAATTGCTCAGACTGTCGTAGCAAGTATCTTACAATGGAATCGTACTAAATTAATTGATGATGACAAAATGGCTATGATTTTATCAACTTTTAACTCTGATAGTAAGATAATAATTTACATTTTATGAAAATGTGTCCAACTTATATTTTTATATTTTTAGTTGCTATATCCAGGGTATGTGCTAAAAATCATAAATTATTTCCATTTTTATCAAGCGATTCATTTTTAATTACATCATACTCACTTATCAAGTAAGATACTTTATTAGCACATTAGTGTTACTTTGATGATTGTATTTTAGAAAATAAAGGGTAAAATAGTTTACCAATTAATGATTTTGATTTTCAGACTATGTCCAGAATTTAATAATAAGCAATTTATCTCAAAATGGTTGTCCGAGATTAATCATACCAGTGATTTATTAGATAATACTATGTTTAATTTATATTTGGCTGGTCTTTACTTAAGTAAAATCTGTGATCGCTCTCAACAACAAATTGTATTAAAGTTATTGAATAAACAGTATTTGTTGCCATTAATTTCATATGCTTTGGATCTGGAAATAAGTCATTATGGTCGTTTTGATTTAATGAAAGTCATACCTACTGCAGCTTGTAAACCAGTTAGTTGATTATGTTTGTATAGAAATAAATAATAATAATCAAATTTATATTTGACTTACTTATAATGAAAAATATTTACCGCCAACAACTCATGATATTACCATTAAGTATTGAGTAATAATAATAATCTTTCATTAGAAATTAAATATTATATAAATTCATTTTTATTAACTTTCTACTTTCAAATTACCATTGATCAAAAACCTAATTTCAATAACAATTTTAGTAATTTTATCAGTAGTTTTAAAAAAGTTGTTGAATAAAACAAGCATTGGGAGCTTGGTGATTGTTCTTTTTTTTATGTACAATTTTTAATTGTAAAACGAGGACGACTATATGACGTCACAAAACAATAGTTAGCATACCCGTCTTCTCACCATAATTTAAGTCTATAAAAAGTTCCTAATTAATAATTATAATTGATTTTGAGTCCCTGATTGAAATATATGTTTTTTCTTCACCTAAAATATCTACCGTTTAAATTTTATTAATTCTTACTTAGGGATGTATAATATTACTGTTTAGTTTGAAATATAAATAATAAATTAGTTACAGACATTATTTGCTAATACACTTTTCTAAGACATTGTGAATAGTGTCTTCTTAACCTTACACTTACATATTTATTTTTTTATTTTTATAGGAAAACATTTCATTGGTAATAAATTTTATAAAACGTTTTGAAAATAGCGATGATGAAGCACTGAATAAATTAAGTATCAATATGTATTATGACTTATGGATAACAGAAGTTAGATGTTACAGATTTTTATTATATTGTTTATCCAAAGATAAACCGGGTTGGCAGTGGAATGTTGTTAAGTCATACACTATTAGAAAAATGGTGAAATCAAAGTAAAAAATAATTATTAAAAATTAGCAAAGATATTGACTATAAAAATTATATTTTTTTCATTAGTCCTAATTCAGATTTGGTTTCTGTTTTGAAACAAATGCTTGGATTTTACATAAAACACTCTATGTACTTGCCATTGAAATTTACATTGGAATCTTTAGTAGATTTGTGTCTTGCCGAGTATATGAATCCAGAATCTCTTTTAAAAGTGATTGATAATAATATTTTAGACGTTCACCATCCTTCTGTTATATCTAGGTATGATTTTATTTATTTGAGTAAAATTAAATTAAAACTTTTTGTTTATTTATTTATTTTGTACAGTTATTGTAATTTGTTAATGGTGTTATGTAACCAAACAACAGAAAATGAAAAACGCAGTGAATTTTTCAAAAAATTATGGTCCATGGTATTACACACCAATGATAGTACTGTTAAATGTGCTCTTAAGTAAGTTTAAATCCCTTAAACTTTTATAAAATGTTAATTTAAATGTTTTAGGTCTTTATCCAATACAGATTTAGAAACCATGACCCTTGGTGTTTTACCTAAAACATTTCAAAGTTATCCAAAAGTTGGGACACAGTTGGAGGATTCAGAAAAATTAGATTTATTTAATGGACCTATACCAGGTGACAGTTTTATTATTTTTTCATCACTCATTCATTCAATTTTTTTCTTTTTTAGTAATAAGATATTTTGTTATTGCAGGAGAGTGTTGGGTAAAATTTCTTCAAAATATTAACAAATCCTTTATCAATGAAGCTCAAATGACGTTATCAGTTTGGCTTGGACGAGAATTGGAAAAATATGTCATAATAAGAGTCCAATCAGACCGTTAGCATTATAATAGAATATTGCTATTTGGTATGCTGTTTATTTAATGTTTATTTGCAGATGAACCAAAACATTTAAAGCATCTTTCCGAACAAAGCATTGCCCGAGGATTAATGTCATTTATTGTTCCAAAACGAAAACAAATGTTGGATGTTGATGAAGATACCAAAGTGACTTGTTTAGGTGTCATTAATGGTGCTGATAAACCAATGTATCCATTTGATTGGGGTTTCTTAGAAAAATATGTGACTGAAGGGCCCAATAGCAAGCTTTGGAAAGAGTCAGTTATATTAATTGCAAAGCAATCAACCAAATCTACTTCAGCATTTCGACTTCTATACAAGTGTTATGATCACCACTCAAATTTTGATGTAAAATTCATGTTGTTGAATTTTTTTCTACTTTTTTTTCTTATAAATCATATTGAATAATTTTTCTAGACAAATCAAATTAAATTACTGGTTACAATATTATATAAAGTTTCCAATATTATTTTTCATGATTTACAAAAGCAATTTGTAACAGAAGTAATTAATGGAATTTTAAATAACATACATGAAACAAATTCTAACAACAATTTAGGTATAGTTCTATTACAATTTTATTACATAATCAATGTTTTTTCTTTTTATGCATGTATATGATATTTTACATATTTTGTAGATGTTGACTTGCTATGTCATATTTTATCAGAATTTAAACAAACATTACAAAGTCCCCAAACAAATATGGAAAATGTACACTTTGTTTGTAATATTTTACAAAATATATGGTGTACAATCAATTTGGAAAATAAGGTATCCCTGTATATTTTAAAATAAAATCCAAAATATTTATTTCAATTAATTCTAGGAAATACTTTATGCGTTCCTTGGTTGCTGCATAGCCATGCCAGCTGACATACTGAAAAACTTAAGACCTTATCCTGTTCAAGAATCAATGCTACCAAAGTTTGTAATTCTTTGCTGTGCACAGAATTTTATTTATAGTAACACATCTTTTGATTCACTGAATGAATGTATTCAAGCATGTAATCAATTTTTCAAGTAAAGTATTTTCATTACAGCCATGATAGACATATTTTAAGGTTATATCTTTTTTCTTTTTTTTAGAAATTACAAATTTTTGTATGACACGGCTATTGAAGTCTTTAAACTCGAGATGTTTATTCCATATCATCATGAGTTTATAGCTAATTTCATGATTTATCTAACCAGTTTCACAAAGAAAACAAATACCTTGACAAATGTTGGTATTGTTAATTTATTAAAAAATCTTTTATTTATCAACTATCATTAATTTTTATGGCATACTTTTATTTTGTGTATATTAAATTAAACAAAAAATCTTATTCATATTGTTTTTAACTGTTTATTTCAGGATTTATTTGATGTATTGTGCTCAATTTTCATTAATCTCATAGTCACATTATCAGGATATGCCAGTGTAAGTTTCACTAATAACAGAAAACTAAATTGTTCAGTATTTCCTGTAGCTTTAGCAACATATTCTAAAAATACATCACAGGTAAGAATAATGTATGTAGTTTGTTATTCATTGTTAAAATTATCGTCTCATAGTCTTTTAGGATTATTGAATGGCTTAAAACTATGATAACCATTTCATCTTTGCCAGAAGAATATTCTAAACTGTTCTACTGTTGTTTAGCTGCATTTAAAAATGACAAATGTTTATTAGTATGGACAAACAGAAAAAAAATCATATTACACTGACCATCGTTCTATAGACTAAAGGTAATTTTAATATTAATTTAATGTTCATCTGTTTTTCCATTCATACTTGCTGTATCATTTGACTTGTAACCATTTGGATTCATGGTTTGCCATTTCCAAAAGTCTTTACCTAAAATGATTAATAAGTATAATGTATGTAAATATGTTATTAATAATTTACTATATTAACTTACACATATCTTCTAAGGTATATTTAGCTGTCCAACCAAGATCAACTTTTGCAAAATCACAATTGGCATACATTGATTCTATATCACCATATCGGCGTGCTTCAATTGTGTATGGTATTTTGACACCTGTTACTTTTTCAAAGGTTTTTACAAAATCCAATACAGAAGTTCCTTGTCCACTTCCTAAGTTATAAATCTAAGACCATTAATATAATTAATATACAATAGTGATATATGCATTTCAATAAATTATATATTTTTATTTTTATCTACAATCATAATGATCTTATTATTAATTTATAATTATTTTTCCTTGTGTTAATCACGTCCTAATAAATAAAATATGATTTTTTTTTTATTTGATAGTTAGTTTATATAAAATAATTACAATTCATAATATATTTTTTGTAAAAATTCAACTTATTGATATTTATAAATACATTTCATTATGGTATATCATGAAGGTGTGTATACATCAAACATAACAATCAAATAGGTAGTGAGAATTTTATGCAAACATACCATAATTATAGACTATAGTTACCTGTAAATGTGCATGCTTTGATTGTAGTTTTTTTAAAGCTGCCACATGTCCTTCGGCCAAGTCCATCACGTGAACATAATCTCTTATGCCTGTGAACAAGGAAATGTATGAAAAAAAAAACTGTGCTCATTGTTGTTTGACGTGTAAATTATGTTTACCGGTGCCGTCAGGGGTTGCATAATCTCCACCGTAGATTGACAACTTGGGCTTTTTCCCCAACGCCACTTGAGCTATGTATGGCATTAAGTTTGAAAAATTTGTCGTTGGGTCTTCTCCGATCAATCCCGATGAATGAGCTCCTACCGGATTGAAGTACCTCAGGCTCACGATGTTCCATCTCTTTTTGCAAAAAACACAAAAAAAAAAAAAATGGAAACGTTTCATTGGGAACGACAAATCAACAAAGCGCAGACTAGTAGCATAGGTAATACAACTTATAAGGATAGGTAGCTATTGTTATTGTTTAGTCTGTAGGTATTTACTTGCTCGGAGTTTACGACGTCCCTGAGTATCTCTTCGATGAAATATTTCGTGCGGCCGTACACATTGGTGACATTGCCAATTGGGTGACTTTCGGTTATGGGCAAAGACGAGGGGTTCCCGTAAACGGTACACGAGCTGGAGAACACTAGCTGGTAACATCCGTGAGAGGCCATCACTTCCAAAAGATTCATTGCGCCTATTATGTTGTTCTTGTAATACATGAGAGGTTGTTTCATGGATTCGCCGACCGATTTCACTGCAGCAAAGTGTATAACACAGTCGAATGTATGCTATAACAGTTAGTATAAAAATCATATACCTAATAAACGATGGTGTAAATGTGTAATAATAACATAATATAGGTAGGTATACTGTCAGTTTTCGTATGTTATTTTATTAAATCTGGAGGGGTTCGAAACTCTATGCATAGAGTACTAAGGCATTGAGTGCCTACCACATATTATGAGTATATATAGGTATAGTGCCGGATTAACCTAGTACAAGCAAATCAAGCATTGCTAAAAGCCCTCAAAAAACTTCGGCCCTTCGAATTTTTTTTTTTTTTTATTGAGAAAATTGAAAATATATGGATTTGCACCCTAGGCAAGTTTGATCGTAAAATGTCTGTTTCCTATTTAAAAATATATTTAATGATTACCTATGGCCGCCGGTTGGTGAAAACGTCTACAAAATAGTAATAGCAGCTTCCTTTTTTATCTTTAGAATTAATTATACTACATATAACATATTACAATAATACACTGCAGTTTTTTATATGGAAAAGCTGGAAAAAAAAAATTAGATATTATGTATAGTTCAAAAAGACAGACAAGTGGACAGTTGCAGTGATGAAAGAGACCAATTTTATAATAAATATAATACGTAGGTAAGTATTATATTTTAGTACCTATTTACCTATAATTTAAAAATGTATTATGCAAATTAAATGTTTTCAATTTGGTACAATTATTTATTAAATAATAAATATTGTTTAGGTATATTTATAAAAAAAATTGTTAAACACGAAATTGTTATAATTTATAGTTCAGAAGCATGGCTGAGATATTGGACTGGTGTATACCTTTTTTTGCTCTTTATGACCAATTAGGCTCGTCTGACTTATTCCCTTAAGGCCCGCGAAGCATTTAATCCGGCACTAGGTATAGGCAAAAGGTTATCCTCAAAGATAATAAAATATTAAATGCGTGATATTATATAGGTAAATTTGTGATTTGTCTTAGGTGTACGTACACATTGGTGGAAATCTGGAAGGCATATATTATACAGTCTTTCAAGACACCCTAAAAACTTAACAATAATAGTAATATTTTTGCTTATGAAAATTGAGTAGGTATTGTCCAAAATGTCAATAGAAAAGTACCTACTGTATGTCTGTATACCTATATAGAATATTTTCTCAATAATAGTGGTAAGTATTTTGACAGGAAAAATGCCATATTTTCCTCGTAATTACTTGCGTGAACGGCAGCTAGGCTGCCTATATAGTCATTGATTTAAAAATCGAAGTGGTTGCTTTTGCAGCATACAGGTACCTACTGAATTGTGTAAAGAAAAATAATTTTCCAAAACAATACTAGTTTCGTGGGTCAAGATATTCTGGCGCTAAATATCGCGCGCCTCTTTAATAATAATAACGTATAATAAAGTATTATTATTGTACTTTGTCGAAAATGCCGTCCAGCTGTTGGACGTCCAACAGGTCGCACTTGTAAAAGGTGATCTCCTTGCCTGTAATGCGGCGCACCCGATCCAGACTGGCGGCGGCCTGCTCCTTGCCGACGCTGTTTGCGAAGTTGTCGATGGCCACCACGTCGTAGCCGGCTTCCAGCAGCGACAGTACGCAATGGCTGCCGATGTATCCCGCTCCGCCTGTGACGAAAACCGTCTTGATGTCCGCCATGGTAGGTGTCTATTTTCTACCTATAAATCGTGTGCTTACAGCGTCCTCGCTGAAGGATTTCCCGGATTTTCGTGGTGTGGTCGAACGAACTGCTAACGGTTGTAACGAGAAGACGTGCGGTCTTTAATATAACACAGTCGTCTTGCACTCGTGCGTGGAGCACGTTTTGATATGATTATTTTTGTTTCCGATCGGAGGATCGAGAGAGGAGAGAGCGACCTGCTTCACGCACGCCGCACTATAAAGTGACGTATATGTTTACCTACTATACTACCGCATACGTTGGTAAGTATATATGTAATTCGAACGCCGGATAGTATCGTCCTTGGCCTTGGACTCGTACGGCCGACGAAGAAGATCCGAACCGCAGTGGGGACACGATTTATAATAATAATATATACCATATGATATACAGAGTGGTTCTTTTAATATTATCAACTACTGTCAGCCGTTTTATATTCTTAAATATAAGATGTCTTGAAACATTTTGTGTTACACCTAGGTATAATAATAACTTTGTTAGATATTATGTAAAAAAAATAAATAATATTATAAAAACACATAAAGTCAATGATAAATATTAATGCCTGATTCTTGAAAGAAGAATCATTCTGTATAACGAGTAGTTTACCGTAAAATGAGGATACTTTGCACCAAATTTCTTGTTTTTTTAACTTAAAACATACACTGCTACTTTAATAATTAGGATATAATATTGCAATTTCCGCAGTTTTCTAGCTATGAACATAAGGAATGTAAAGTCGAAGTTTAAATTTGATTAACTTAAAAAATAAATTTATAGTTTTTTTTTTAAATTTTGGTGCAAAGTTATATGTCTGTTGGGGTGACTTTGCACCACTTACAATTTTACCTTGAAATATCATAGATAATCAATTCTGGTGCAAAGTAAGAACTTTGCCGATTTTTTTTAAGCACGGTTTGTTGTAAATGATAACGTTCCTTATCACGGACACATATTTTCGAGGGAAATCCTGATACTGATAATAAAATCGGTTCCAATCATTAGTTATGAAGTTAGGAACAAGATTTTTTTTAAAATCGTTTCATACCTAAATTAGTTTCCAGGTTATGACAATTAATAACAAAAAATTATTTTGGTGCAATGTTGACCCCCCTGGTGCAAAGTATCCTCATTTTACGGTACGCGTTTACCTGCAGTAGATAGGTTTGTATGGTAGTAAAATGGTATATAACTGCAGTTACCAGCTACATATATATAGTGACGATTGGCGATTTATGTGTCGAGCTTATAACTGGTTTTAAATTTACGCCACGCGATCATTACACATTATTACCCATCCTACCTTTCTACTATATTATTTTTTGCTTATGTTGCCGAATTATATACCATAATATAGGTACCTACCTATTGCCTACACAAGCGATGTGTGCCATTTATTATGTATTATAATATAATTTAAACACGTATTGGATATTATATTAAAATTTCGATGACATTTTCAACTCCACTACACTACTATACTACAGTAATACTAATACCAGTATAATGTTTCCTACCTATGTTAGCTTCCAACTTGTCTTGTTTGCTATTACGTCGGTATCGTCAAAATGTACCTTTTTTTATATATATTATAATATGCTGTTATACCCCGTGTAATGTGTTAAATGATATTATGTGATTTTTTTTTTTTAATGTAGATACATTTACATCATAATTGTTTTTTTAAGTTTAGCAATAAGTATAGGTAATAACTATACACGTCACATTGAAAAATATTAAAATTACGACGATGTCTGAAGACTGAAAGTCACCATAATATAATATTCAGTATTTCAGTGTAGACGTGTAGTAATAAAAAAATATCATAGGCACCTATATATTGTATATTATATTTTTAAAATTATTTATTAAGAAAAGCCTCGATATCTAGGCCATTGGCTGAAAATTTATTATTAATTTGATATTTTATTATTTTAATTATTAATTTGATAGTAGGTATATAATATTATTATAAACATTTAGTATTATACTTAATGTTCGAAATGTTTTACCTACCTATATTTAATGAACGTATTTTTAATTTTCACATCACTTTTATGATTAAGTATAAATAATATTGAATATTATTTAGATTGATAATTGATTATTTATTATTATTTTTTTTGATATTTATTTCATATTTTTGCTTGAATAAATGATAGCAAGCATAACTATCTTATCTAAAATCAGGATAATTTTTATTTGAATACGATCATCTAAAGTTACTAAAGATTGCATCTTTAAATATAATAAAGATAATAATATGATGTAAGGAACACGTCATCACTCATTAAGCTTATAAATTCAAATTATACTACCTATATCTCTAATGATGACAATCATTTTGATTATCTGTATAGCCGTATAGGTATTAATGTATTATATATAATATTCTTTTCTCTATTAAATAATATACTGATTTATATATTTATCTACATTTTATTTAATATAATAGATATTAGTGCGAACAATATAGGTACACCTATGCGTGGTGCACCTAAAGTCTTTATATATAATATAATAATATGTATAACCAATCGTTTTTTCGATACCTATACCAATTTGTTTGGCATGGTGTAGTTAATTCGCCTTTATTTTGTTTATATTTAATTCGCTGAAAAATATACATATTTAGATCCCTTTATTTTGTTCGAACTTTTGAGTAGATAGGTACTATAGAGCAGTGGCGTATCCAGGGGGGGGTTTGGGGGTTGTAACCCCCCCGAAAATTGTTAAATTATAACAACGTTATCATTAATAAATCATTTTAAGATAAAATTCCACAAAAATAAATTATAACCCCTCCCGAAAAAAAATTCTGGATACGCTACTGCTATAGAGTATAGGTAGGTGTAGTTAGTAGTACCTAACCTACAGTGATTTAAATTGGAAAGCTCGTCATGTTAAAATTATATATATGACGACCACTTTTAGTTTCCATATTATTATTGCCCCGAAGACTGCATGTAAATGTGTCATGCCACAATGATATTGACATGAAATACATGAAAATGAGACAGAATTTTATGTAATAGTGTGTACCTATGGTTATGTAAAGGAATTTATTCATTAAAGTATATCCATTATGGCATTACCCCTGCACCTCATCGCTATTTAATTATAAACTTTATAAATAAACGATTTCATGATATATTTTAGATCTACTTACAACTTATATGATTTAACATTTTTTTAAAACCTGGATAAAGACGATCTGCATCTTAGATATCGTTTGACTGTTGAGCATTTCATTGGTCAAAAAATGTTTTACCAAGGAATAAATGTACAACAGTAGCTTTTTTGATGTTAATTAAAATCCATAATATTAATTGCCCCGTCGTTGCCTAAATATAGTTATATTTACCTATACAAACGTTGAAAAAAAAACAATCTTTTAGAATAATCATTGATTATAAATAGGCACCTAGTAATAAATAGGTAGTGTTGTGTAAAAATAACGGTCGTCGACAGAACATCGTTATAATATCGATGACCCGATGACTACTAGAAGGAAATTATTGACAGATTTAAGGTTATTTTTTTAATATAGCAAGTAAAGACGATATTATGCAAATATATAATCCAACTTGAGGTGGGTTCATTTGATGTGAGTAGAGTGTAAAAAAAAGGCCTTAATAGACTTGAAGCGAATAGATAATATAAACTACAAAGGAGCGTTACAATTAGTTAAAATATTCGAATACTGCACTGGCGGTAATTTGAATTCGTAAACTATTTGGAAATGAAGAGAGGAATTTTTAAACTAACATTAATGAATTTATGTTAAATATTATTTTGATGCAGCTGAATATTTATGGTTTTCGTGCTAGTAGATATTACCACCACACATACCTAATGTATATAATAATATAATGTTTAGCTATGTAGTGTATCATAAATAAATACTGAGTTTTTAGGATTTAGAACCATATACACCTAGGTAAACATTATAATATTATAGTATAAATCCGATTGTTGAATGTCATATATTATTAATTATTATAAATAATAATTTATCCACACACATACTATTAATTGACGGACAAACAGTCGTTATGTATCGATAATTAAAAAAATAAAAATAACATATTTTTAATGAATGCGTTGACACGTCGATTAATATGTTGCAAACTATTAAAAAAAATGTTTCTATTGTGTACGGTGTACCTATACATTGTTTTACGAAAAAAAAAAATTAAAATAAATATTATGCAAATGGTTATTCGATTTAATATATATTTCCACACGCGCGTGCATATAATATGATACAATATAATTTAAAAAAACAGCTAGTAATTATTTTGTAATTTTAATTAAACCGTTCGAACGTTCTATACTCTATACCTACGGTCAAGCGTGGAATAGAATCCGTTGGTTCTGCAAACATCGTGCGCGACCAAAACACGGAGAGGAGGGGGGGGGGTGCTGAAAAAATTCTATTTTTTCATAAAACGAAATAAACATATGTATTATATTTTTTAATATTATTAAAGTACCTGAGAGAAGACCAATTTAAAAAAAGGTGCTCCGCTGTACAGTAGGTTACAAGTGGGTCACTGTTTAATGGATGGTATTAAATTTGAATTCAATGATATAATATCATTGTATGAGAAAAATGATTCTGAGCGGAGACGGTATGTCAGTCTAGGTAAAAGAAATATTATATACTTATCTATGGTATTAAAAAAAATTGACCTATAATAGGTACCTATTATAAATTCCAAATTAATCATATCACAATATCCATTAGGTACTTATAACGTGCTATACGTCAACAACAAACCCTGATACTATCATAGATATATAATAGTATACTTTAGAAGTTTCCAGTACCCACGAATAATATACAATCACAACGAAATATAACTAAAATAGTTATTCTAGGTTTTTTATTATGTAATTTCGTCCAAATTTGAACTTAAAATGGCTATAAAAATAAACTGTCCTTCTTTATTTTTCAGATTTTTTGGTAACAGAA